TATTTTCCTTTCTCTGCCTTTGTTTACCATTGTTTACTTTCCTTGGGGACATTTAGTAGAGTAGTATTTCTTCATCATGAAACATTTTCTTTCTCCCACAAGTTATTTCATTACCTACATCTCTTGTCTAGATCTATAAACATGATCACAGCTGCTATGGTGAAGGCGTCTGAAATTTATGCTTTTCCTTTGAACCCATAAAATTTAGCTTCTACTCCTCTCATTACTCAGGAAACTTCCTGTTTACTGACATAAAAGTAGAACATGCTCTTTGATATGGATTTTCCATTCACTTGATGCTCCATAACAAGTTATGGCTCTAACTCATTGGGAAAGCCAGTAATAAAATGATATGTGCTTCTCCCAATAACCACTCTCCCTGCAACAGTTCACGGGACCAGTTTCCACCTGTAACTTCAGCAAACACATGTATGAGGCATACGGGGTGGGGAGGCTGGCATGACAATGCACACTCTCTGAAATACAGAATAAAGAAACTGCTTTAATTCTGACAGAAATGGATTTCTGCTTTTCAAAGACCTGAGTGGTTGTTTAAACACAGCACTTTCTACTTTTACTATTAACAGTAATGCAATAAGTGGAAATGTGATGATTTAATAACAATAATGATATTTACATAGGTTTCAATTATATATCTTCATCCTGGAGGGTTTAGAGCTCTGACCTTCCATATCTCACGGGCACTTGAAGTCAATTGAGTCAACAACGGAATTAATTATCACTCCTGTGCACTGCTGGAACTCTTATTCTCCAGCGCCCCCGCCCAGTAAATGACACGATCTTCCAGACAGTTCTTCAAATCTGATAACTCAGTGTCCCTCCCATACAATCACTAAGCTCTCTGGATTCAACATCCTCAGTATATTTTGATTCGGATTCAAGTCAGGAGAACCTTCTCTCCTAAATGCTGCTTCTCTAGTTTGAGGCTCTGTTGTGACTTGCACAAGTGAAGTCAGAAGTCTCCTCATTGAGCTGCTGCCTCTAATCTGTATCCTTCATTTCACCCTCCAATCTGTACCCATCATTTCAGTCCAAATGACCATTCTCAAATACAAACGTATCCTACAAGCAATCCTCGGTCCTGTGCCTGATTGGGCTACCCGCCTTCCCCTAGATGGGCTCTCCTCCCACCTCCCATATGTGAAATGTCTGCATCTTCGTTTCAAAATCTACTGCTATAAACTTTCTTATACTAATCTCAATTTATCGATCACTTTATTACTCACACCCTACATTTATGCTACAATAGTTGGCATTGAGTTTGTACAACTTTGATGACATTGCCTCTTCTGGTCCCTAGGGTCAAACACCCCATGCTAGTTGCCATAAATGGCTCTGTTTTCACCTGTGCTCATGCACACACACCCATATTCCATGTCTCCCTCTCTTCCTGAAATTGCTGAGCAAATATTCAGCCAGCTCTGCAGGGTCATCACGGACTGACCCCCTGTTGCAGCTGTCTCGGTGGTCTTACAGGTTACTCTGGTAATGTGTATTTTGCTTTTTTGGCTTTTCTTGTACAGTCAGTTCTATAAATTTTCCATTTGGAGTCTTGTAGATTTGTAGCAATTTAGATAATGTTGTGTTTGTACTTTGTTGTGTAGAGTGAAAGGATTGTGTTGAATAAACCTAGGATTAGGATGCAAAAAAATATACATAATAATAATTCATATATTAAGAAAATATGTCTTATTTTCGCGCCATACCAATACCTAGTGGAGTTCTCTTTTAGTAAGTGCCAATTAATACTTAAAAGGTGAATGTACATAGTAGTCATCTAGTCATCAAAGCACTGGCTTGGGAAAGGGAGGGATCTGATTAATCCTAGATCTAACACAGGCTGTGTAATTCTGGACAAGTTTCTTGATTTCTCAAAGCTTCACTTTCCCCCATTTCAGGAAACGGGAAGCACCCCAGTAGACACTACTCTGGAGTGAGTGGCTCCTGTAAGGCTCACCCAAGAGCCACATTAACTTGGCAGGTGGTGTGGACACACAGGCCGGCGGGCTGTGTGCCATCCTCCAGGCCTGTCTCTCGCTCACAAGAGGCTGAGTTAATTGCCAGTATGGACAGGTGGTCCATGACTGTTCCAGGGGAGAACCTGCCCTCCCCCCAGCAACATTTTTCTTTTTATAGGAATTACAGGAGAATGGCCTTGTATATCTGGAGAAAATCCAGTCTGATCTTGAGTCTGGATCCTTTCAGACAAACTCTTGCAACTGGGTTCTCATTCTAAAAGCACCTGCAGCTCTTCCTTCTGAGGAAAGGGGAAGCCAGGGGTCCCATCTATGTCCGTCCCCGGCAACCCGGAGCAAGCCGCAGACCTCGTGCAGCCGACAGTTCCACCTGTCTCCTCCTACTCCTGCATCAAATGGTAATATTCATGCTCCACTTCACTGTGCTGTTAGGAGTAAATCAGAAAATGCCTAGAGGAATAGTATCTGACACATAGTAACTGTTTAATAAGTGATGGTTACATAGTATCATGCTTTAGTAAATTAATATTCTGCAAGACTGATGCTATGCATAGATGGAGAATATGAGTGTGACTACGGTATAATTGAGGAATTAAAGTCAATTTGATCAAATGCAATCCCATAAGGCACTCATACCCAACCTATTTTGAGGTTATTTTAGGAAATCTATGAGAGTATTTTTCCATTAAGTTTATTATTTTTTTCTCTTCTGTCCCAAATGATACAACAGTCATTTTACATTGAATCCCATCAAATCATTTTGCCATATGTGTTTATGTATGCATTTAAATCATGTTGGCTCCCAGAATCACGACTTCAACTGTGGGTCAATGAAAAAAAGGAGGCTGAATAAATACGTGGCCATTGTGCTCACACCAAAAGACACCAAATGAAGTCAAAAGGAACGTTCCCAGGATTGCAAATCAATAAAGTGGGAGGGGCGGGGGGTGAGTTATCATTAAGCACATGGCATCAGAGAGCTCAAAGGAACCTGTACCTCAGCAGTCACTTCCACAGGGACATTATGAGTGGTGCATCATCAATCCTTTTGTTAAACTAATGTTGAATTTACACCCTAGACTGAATGTGTGTTAAGCATGCATTACTGGGGGAAATGCTTAATATTTCTAAGACTCTATTAGATGGGTGACTTTTAGGATTAAATTAGAATGTCTATAAAAACTGTATCTGACACAGAGTAAGTGCTCCATGACTGTTAGCGATTATTATACTGTGATAAATAAATAGTCTTCAAAGTGGATGCTCTGAATAAGTACAGAATGTAACTATAAATATGAAGCTTTTTGAAGTTTGTTTTGCTAACTGTCCATCGTGTGACTTGGACTTTGCTAATGTCTGTGATCCAAAGACAAATAAGACAAACTGTCTGGGTTCTGGGCCCCAGAATCAAACTTTGGGGTGGGATGGTTTTCTTAAGGGATGATTTTATTCAAGTGTGACAATGGAACAGGAGCAGCTAAGACACTGGTAAGCTGAGCAGATGGTGAGAAGTGAGCTGCCCATGGCTCATGGTGACTTAGGGCCAAAGGGAACGTGAGCACGAGCTTGTGTCCTGGAGCCTGGCAGGCTTGGCTGCGCACCCAGCTCTGTCACGTCCGGTCTGCCTGGCTTAAAAGTCCTCCTCTCTAGGCTTTAGCTTCCTTGTTTGCAAAGTTGGGGGATGGAGGAGTTATCAAACGATACTTATAGGGCCTTTTTTTGGAATAATAAACTAACTGCTTAATATAGTGCAGCTATCTAACAAGCACTCAAGAAAATTTTGCTATTTCTAGATTGACAAAAATTAATACGATTGATATGCATGCTATTGCTATTCCTATTATTACTCTTGGTATTAATACTATTGTTACTATATCGGCAGTGTCTGGCAGGGACAGAATGTGTGATGGTGGAGGCGGACTCCGGGAGCATCCTAAGTATGCAGGGAGACCTCTGCAATCTGCACAACACGCTTTCCCTGACACAGATGAGAACTTCAACAAGCTGCTGGCCCCTTGTATGATGCGCCTTCCTTTCATGTAAATAACGTGAGCCAGAGCCTAACTTGACTTACATCACAAGGTGGTAAAATGCGTGTGAACAAAAGCTTTTGTGGCTACAGAATAAAGGTTTGCTAGAGGGAATCATGATGAAGTGGAATCAAACAGTCCTGGATTCTTTTCCGGATTCTTCCATGCCCTGGTGGTGAGATACTGGGCAGACTGCCGAATCTCCCCAAGCCTCAGACTGCTCAATGTGATGACTGTAGATCATAGGAAATAAATCATTGTTCTATAATAAAAGAGCGCCTAACAGGATGGTGAGGCTGAGATGGGCTATCAGTAACTCTTAGGTCCCTGCCCCACAAAAAGATATAATAAAAATGCTTCATGAAGAAAACACTAAGTGAAACCTGTGGTTTCTGTCTCGTTTTTATGTGAAAGTATTTCCAACACAAATTACATTTTGACAGAGGTCTTTACCTTTTCTATGTATTTGTGCTGAGAGCATAGCATTAGTGAGTTGCATGGCATCTTATTTTTAGGCTAGAGAGAAAAACATTCTTTGGTCTCCTAAAGATGAGTGGCTACACTAAATAGAACACTGTCTCTTTCATTAAATTCAGGGTGCCCAGATGAAACATCCAAATACGTTCCATGGGGAGGAAAGCTCTAATATTTGAAAGTTAGGATCTAGTCAAGAATATTGGATTTGGATAAATGGGTTTACATATGTCTACAAACCTGTGTCTGTATCAATCTATCTCTACATTTGATTTTTTCTATCTATAAAATGCTTCCATTTCTCGTTTTAAATATCAAAGCTGACTGCTAAAGTCAATATTGGCATACAAAGGCACACAAAAAATGATTTTTTCCACAAAAATCACTCCTGTTTTTATCTCTCTTTACGTATCTATAAAGTTGATCTCTGTGTGCAGTTTGGCTTTTAAAACATCTCCTTTGATACCCATTTCAGTGTTTCGGGTAAACAAACACTTACTGTATGCACATCCGAACACCTCGATTCGCATTCCGATTCTGCCCTTGGGGTTCCACTCCAAAGGGATGAAGCGCAGGAACCTGGCTTTGATGGAAGGCTGGAGTCTATAGTACACCACGCTGTCTGCGTTCGCATTTCCTGAAAAACCCTAGGAGAAACGGACAAGAAGGGAATCAGTGCATCTCAAGTATACCACTGCCCGTGTCACCTCGAACGTCAGTGAGCAAGGCCTGATTTGCTTTCTTCCTGTAACGATGGCTAACCCAGTTAACTTCGTATGAACAGTTATGTCACAATGTCTCCAGATGTTATGGCTGCCTAAACTTTTCTTTGTATTAAGACTAGTTTAAATCCTACCATCCCCATGAAACCAGCTTTCAACTAGGATACCCTCAGTCAAGTTTGTTTCTATGAAGTGCAGATGAAACTGAAAACATTGTGAATAGCACAAAGAGGAGAAAACCTTCTCCTGAAAACCATGATCTGATTCGGCACCGAAGTTGCTCACGTCCCTGCGGAATGAGGAAGGTTACAGCATGTCTCGGGTGTTTCACTGTCTCATCTTACTCATTAGCAGAAACAAAAGTATCACCCCACATTCAAGCCGGAACGACACTCTAATATCAGGTTGTTAAACTTCACGGCACTGCTGGATACGCCCATTAAAAACTTGTTAAGGGAGACTGGAAGCCATAATGATTTGGAAAGACCAGTAATTAGACTTACAGGCTCTAGAATCTGAAAGCTAGAAAGACCCTGGGATGGTAAACCCGTATAGTCAAATTGCAGATGAGGAAATTCAAGGTCAAAAAGGTAGGGAAACAAACAACTCTGGTGTTTGTAAGGCTATTATATAATAAGATCCGGAGCTGTGTTCCTTCCACAATATTGGGATGCATCTACCTAATACATAGGTCATCTGCAAAACCCACGTGCTGCAGCACCTAACATCTAAGCAGGTTTTATGTTCTCTAAGCAGGTTTTGTGTTCTCCTACATGAACTTCTGTAAGGCTTCATATAGGGAAAAGTTAGGATGAAGGAGAAGTTATTCCCAAAAGTGTATATCTGTTTCTCCCCTTCCTTGTCCTTATGTTCCTCCTCCTTTTATTTAACTGTAACAATCAGCATATGTAGAAACAAAATAAGCGATGATACTACTCCCTATTCAGGCTCATGATTGATTCACTTACCATGATTGGATCAACAAAAAAAGGTCAACTTCATGATTACACAGGCAAAGGTAAACGCATGAGGAATACCAACACCCAGGACATTTCTTTCTTTGCCCACTTTTCTTTCTAGTTCACAATATCCCTTTACCAGCATTTACCAAAATATTTTCCAATACATTAAAAAATAAAAGGTTGGGTGTTTCATAGTCAAATTAATTTGATTTCACTCCCCGTGTCCATCAATTCTCTACCTCTTGCCCACAACCCCACCAAGACCCCCATATCCTCCGGCTCACACAGTACAGACAGTTCTGTGATGGCACCTCTAAATTATATCCAAACGCTGGACATCTTTCTTCATCTCAGCTATGACCACCCAGTTCCACAAAGCATTATCTCATCAGAACTATGTCAGCGGCCTCTTCCTTCATTTTTTCCTTCCTCTGTTCCCTGTCACCATCCACATCCACATCCTGAACCTCTCCCCCTCTGAGCAGTCAGTAAGATTTTTTAAAGGCAAATTAAACCATGCCACCGCCACTGCTTCAAAATCCACTTAGAACAAAGTCCAATCCCCTTATCAAACATACACAGTCTTTGGCAGCATCCTCCATTGGGCTTCAGCCACGCTGGAGCTCCATGAACAAGCCAAGCTCAGTCCTGCTTAGGTTAGGCCTTTGCCCCAGTCATGCATTCCTCTCTTAAAGGTCTTCCCTCAAGATCTTTGCATAACCAGCTCCTCTTGTCATTTCAGGCCTTGGTCAAAACATCACCACCTAAGACTGATCCCAGTTTCTAAAGTAACATACCTGGCACCTTCACATCTTATCTTCCTGCTTTATTTTCTTCATATTATTCATTATTTAGGGAGTCTTCTCTTGTTTATTATTTGTTTAATCTTATCCCACAAGAAAACAAACTTCATTAAAGCAGGGAGCTTTACTGCCTTCTATCCATAGCATCTAGAACATGGCTTGGCTCAAAGTGATTCTCAAAATATTTGCTGCATGTGTATGTTTGAGAAAGGTTGGGTTTAGCAACAAAACAAAGTTCAACAGGTTTCTCAATTACAGGACCTCTCAGAGCACGTCGAGTATGGATGTGGAAATGCGCACTGGACCACCCATGACACAGGTAATTAGTTATCCAGCATGTTTCAAAAGTATCAGGCCAACATTCCCAGCTACTGTTTCCCAGAACAAAAATAAGAGAATATTGTTTAATCCCACAGATATTTGAACCAGATCCTTCTAGAAAGCTCCATTCTATCCCACTGGTCAAAACTTCACACCCTGGGCATTGTGTGTGTGTGTGTGTGTGTGTGTGTGTGTGTGTGTGTGTGTGTATGTACAGTCTCTACAAATCAGGGTAAATGTGCATCCGGGGTTGCGAACATGGCCTACAGACATTCAATCCTAATCAGACCCTCTTATCCTCTTATACTCGGATTCTATTTTCCTGGGTGCCACTGGCAGGCTAATACAATCCCTAATTATATTTCTTTCAGTGAACAGCTGGATGATGAATTACAGAACCCTCCGAAAGATCTCACATTTTTTTCAAAATTAATGTAACTTCAAAGATTTAGATGGATGCCACTACTATGATCTCAGCATCTTAAGGGATAAAGAGAAAAGATGTATGGTGACACCGGCAACAGACAGGCAAGTAGAACGGGAGGTCTATGAAATGACAGCCTTGCACATTTACCTGATCAGTTTTGAGTTATTTGAATTTTGAGAACATAAAGAAGAAATATAAGATACTTTTATATGTAATAAAAGTATCTTGGCACATTCAAATTTTTAAGTAGCTTTTTCTTATAAAAGGTGAGGGACATGGTGAGGTGGGGAATATGGGGTTTTTACAATGACCACATTTCAATCAGATCTTGATTGTTGGTGAGACTGTATTAATTTTATAATAATCAGTAAAATGAAGACATAGACATAGGAAGTGTGTACAGTGACAGAGCAGATAGAAACATTATCTAGTAGCAATCTGGGTATGTTAAATAACTTTCAAATATCAATATGCACCATTGCTATCAATCAAATATATTTAACTGAACAATAATATTTGTATTTTTTGCTCCATGTGTCAAGGTTTTTTCAATACATCAGATAACAAAGATTCTGCTGTGGAATCCACTACTTAAATGGGAAATTTTTCAGAAAGCTAACGCATGAAGCATGGGATTGAGGTTACATTACCCTATAAATGAAAAGTCCTATGCACACTATCGGGTTTCAAATGTATTTCCTTTGCCTAGGAGACATTCTTCCATTTACTACAAAGTGTTTTCATGCCATCACAATTCATAAAGAAAATCATGGCTTTCAATATTTCTCTGAAAAATGTATTACGTGCATGTTTATGCTTTTCCTTAGACTACAGATTCTGAACTTAAGTATATGTCAGAATTACTCGAGGTAATTCTGTTTAGAATTGCAGATTTCTAGGCCCTACCTCTCCTGCCCTAAGTCTGTGTGTGGGCTGGACTGCATTTCGAATGCTCGCCAAGCTAACGTGTGCTTTTGGTCTTTGGCTTGCTCTTTGAAAATTCCTCTGGCTTGGGGATAAACCATGCTCTTTTTCCCTCTCTGTAGTCTCAAAGCTTGTCAGAGAGGGAAACGATATTAGAAGAACAGTTCACTAGGGCTAACGTCCAAAGAGAGACTCTCACTAGCAACTGTGTTCTGTGTTATCGATCTAAATGTCTTCAGTGCAAAGTTTGAGTCTCAGCGTCAGAGGCAGCAGAAATACATTATGGAGCTTTAATATTTGCTTCAACCCTATGAAGTAAACATTTTCTACCCACTTTAAAACTGGGGATAATGAAAATTATGAAACAGAGGTTATGTGCCTAAAGTCACACAGCTAGAAAGGGGCAGAATAAGTATTTAATGTCAGGCTTTTTTTTTACTCCAAAGCCCATAATTTAGCTAAGCCATCAAAAGACTTCATTCTACCAGAATATGAACATGAACAACTCACCCTCGAGGTAAAGGAAACTTGATATTTTATTTGAGGCTTTTTTTTCTCTTTTCCTCATAATTTATATTTAAAATCTTTGACATATTTGAGAATAATGCAACTTAGATTACTGTTGAATTGTGATACAGCTCTACCAGTTGACTTTTATAGACAAAAAGATTGTTCTATTAAACTTTACATGTCCTCAAAATTATTGGAGAATGAAAATAAAAGATAAATGTTCAATAATCAGTAGAACTCTTGCATATAGATGACAACCTTCTAATAGATACAGATGTAAAGGAATATGCCATTATATCATCAAATATGTGAAATATCTACAAGAAAAATTAAGGTGATGTGTCTTATGTGATAAAAATCAAAAAGCCTTAATTGCATTTTTCTTTTCTTTGAGACCCGATGATTTTCAAACTCAATGAGCTATTCACAGATGTTTGGGAAATGTATTTTAGCCAAGATAATATATGCGGCTAATGAATGAAAGGTTTTCACAGGATTTTAAGTATTTCCATAATGATTCTAAAGTTTATGAACAGGAGTAATAGCATTAATTTCTTTTTCAAATATTTAGTGAGCAACTCATCTAAGAAAGCCATGATGCATAGAGGGAGATGCCCATATGGCAGTTCATAAGGGGATCCAAAATATTGCTGTAATAAATCAGAAACATGGGACCAATTACATGCGGTTATATAGCAGACTCTGAATTACATAAAAATTGGTCTAGCTCCCACAAAAATAAACAGCAAGACTAGTAGAAATTCTACACAACAAACAGGAAAACATGAAAAATCCCCTGGCCTCTCTTACAATGAGAATTACTTACATATCTGACTTACATATGACCTATTTCCAAGTACAACTCATTTTGACAGAGTCAGCTGACAATGCAGACACTAAATATATCATAACAACATGCTCTAATGGAAACCAGCTCTTTATTTTATGATGTTAGTTATAAATATTTACCAAGTATGC